GGGCCGAGGCCGAGCTCTTTATTAACGGAGCGATAATACAAGAAGTCCGTGCCGTTACGTGACATCACCGGTACGCGCCCGCGCCCATAACGGCAGTGAGATATTCCCGTAGGAGAGCGCTGCTCGCATCCCCCGGTCCAACGCAGGGAACGCGGGAAGCGGCCCAGGGGTGACCCGCGCTCTGCAGGCACCCGTCCCCGACCGCTGGCTAAAGGCGTCAAAAAAAAGACAAATGCAAAATATTGGAATATTTAGAAATGAACAGAAAAGGGGAACTACGGGATTTAAAATTCCACACTAAAATATAAGACAAACATCACTGTTATAGGGAAAATATGCCTGAAATTCAGTCTATAAGACACTTGACCTACAGGGAGTATAAACTTTAAGGCTGTAAAAATATAACCCCACCTTTCTCTAAATAGCATGTTTAAATCTAGAATGCACTTTCAGAGAACGTTCCTGGGCAGCTAAAACCGAGCCGCGATGCTGCTTTGTGCAGGAACCGTGCAAAGTTTTGCAACAGCCTGGGGAAAGATGGCTAATGCCCTGGGCGAGGAAGCGGCTCCTCGCCAGCCGCTTCGGAAGGACGGACAGACGGACGGATGGAAGCGTGTGCTGGGCTGATGGAGGCAAGGGCAGAACCCGACACCAGCCCCGGCAGGGTGAGACTGCTTCCGCTCGCTTGTCAAAGCGACGCTGGCTGCGCAGCGGGCGCCAGGACGCGCGAGACCTCATTGAACGCGCCCACGGGAGCCGTTCTCGCTGGGCCTCGGACGAGCGGCACGCGGTGCGGGGCAGGCGGCAGAGCCGGAGCGCTCGCCGGCTGGGGCCACGCGGGGGGAGGGGGCCGGCGGTGCACGGTCTCGCTGCCCTGACGCTGCAAAGCTGCCGTATGCTGCTGGTGCAGGCCCAGTCCCGTGGCTGGGTGCTGCGCGGCCCCGTCCGCAGGGCTGGGTGCCCGGGTCCCTGTGCGCCGGGAAGGAATCGCAGTCACATCCCCACCTCCAGCCATGCAGATGTGTTTTCTGGCTCGGACTCACGCTGCATCAGGATGGTGCCGTGCAGACACCGATGCTGTGCAGACCCATCCTGCGGCTGCCCTCTCCTCCTGCCTGCGCGCAGCCGCCCGCCCTCGCTCCGCTCTGCCTCGGCCCCAAAGGGCTGTTGTTGCAGCGGGGTCAGCAGGCGAGAGGGTCCTGGCTGCGGCGCTGTGCCCGCAGCTCTCCCCGGCCGGGACGAACCCCTGATGCTCTCTGCGTGCCATCCCTGGCAGCTGGGCACCCTCGCTCCCCCATCGTTGGCAGAAGCTTCCCACGCAGACGAGCTGGGAGCGCTCCTCGCCCAGGGATTCAGTGCTTGGAGTTACTCGGCGTGGTGGGAAATGCCCCTGAACCTCGGTCGCTTCAGAGACAGGGACAAACCCGGTCCCAATCCAGGCCCACTGAAGGCACCGGGTTGCAGCAGTTAACGGGGTTAGCTCGGCTTCTGGAGTTTCAAAGTGCTTGGACCACCACATGCTTGGACGTTCCTCTGCAGCACAGCGAGGGTACCAATACATTCAGGTGCTCGGGACGGGTATTTCTGCTCTCCCAGCCTCGCGCAGCACCAAGCTCCTTCCCTTCCTGGCAGGCACTTCACGAGGACATCAGCCCCACGGCTCCCTGGCGCGGGGCTCCAGAGGGGTTTCTGTGTCAGAACGAGCGGGGTGGAAGAAAAACGGATTATAAAGAGTGAGGAATAAGTGAACTGCAGGCAGGAGCCTTCATGCGAAGCCTGATGATCTCAAGTGGTCTAGGATCGGATCCCTCAGGCAGTCGCTCCTGGGGAAAAGTCCAGAAGGGAATGAAGAGTACAGGGGAGACACTTTGGCCGTTTGGGCGGGATGCCCGGGCTCTCCTACAGCTCTGGCAAGCGGAGCAGGAGCCTCCTGATTCACCCTCTGAGCACAGGTCTGACCCCCGCAGCCGCCGGCGTTTCCCCAGAGCTGGGTGACCGCTTGGTGCGGGAACTGTCACGTTTCTGCAGGGAGAGCACTGATTTGGTAGCCTTCTTGGGAAAGAAATGGTGACGCGGCTATTGGGCCACTATTTCCTCAAAATCGGAGAGCTGCCGCATCTGCTCCGCTTGCATGGAGTGTCTCCGGAGAAGCTTCCTTTTGGCCCTCAAGTCTCCCCGTCTGGGCGAGCTGGGAGCGATGGGTACCAGGGACTTCAAGCCAGCAGCAAGCGGGGAGGAGGTTTTGCTGTTGGAGCCGATGTCGGGGATGAGGGGGTTGGGGTTCACGTTCAGGGGGGGCAGATATCCCGGCCTTGTGTGGGAGATGTGGTCCAGCAGCAGGGTCCCGGACCCTCGCCTCTCCAGCAAACCAGGGGGTCGGCGCCGGACGGGGCCAGGTGACGTGCCGGCGATGCTCTCCAGGGACTCCCGTGAGCCGACCAGCAAAGCCAGGTGGGACCCGCTGAGCTTCCTCCTCTCCGACGGCACCTTCCCTGCCTCGGTCGGGCTGGGGATGCCCAAGAGCTGGGGGTCGCAGTCGTAGTGCTCGGCGCCCAGCCTCCGCCAGTGCAGTGCATCCATCGCCGCGGCTGAGCCGGCGGCAGCGGAGCCGACGCTCTCCGGCTCTTCGGGGACCGTGCTCCTTCGGGGCAGGCGCTGGTGGGCGGCCTGGCTCTTCTCGTAGGCTGCTTTCCTTGCCAGTGGCCCAGGGGCCGGCGGCATCCTCAGAGCCTGCTCGTCTACTGGGGGGAAGAGAGAGGGGTCCTTGCTCTTGCTGCTGCCGCTCCGAGCGAGGGTAGCCTTTTTGGAGAGCGAGAGGTCGCCAATGCCCATGATCACCTCGTTGTCCGCGCAGACCCACGTGTCGTCGCGGTGTGCGGAGGCCGCCAGCACCGAGGGTGCGACCAGACCCCATGGCTCTGACCGCAGCCGCTTCAACTGGGGCAGGCGGGCCCTCCTGGCCGCACTGGCTCGCCGGCCCGGGGAGGGGGGCTCGTCAGCAGCCCTGGCAGAAGGGGTGTCCCCGGGGTGCGACGGGTGAGGGCTGAGGATGCTGCTCTCCTTCTCAGCAGGGGAAGGTGTCGAGACGGGAGTTTTCAGGTGGGCGCTGGAGGGTGCCATGCACACCTCGGGGGGGGCCCTCTCCTTGAACTCCAGCGAGGGGGGAACGTTCAGGTACTGCTTGGCGGTCTTGGTGCCAGAGGCCGATTTGTCCATGGTGATAATAATCACCTCCTTCCCTTTGGCTTTGCAGGCGTTCAGGAGGTGCTGCAGCACATCCTTGTCATCGGCGTTGATGGCGTGGACCAGAGCTGACGCTCCCGAGTGGTCCTCCAGGCTGGGGTCTGCCCCGTTCTCCAGCAGCAGGGACACCACGTCCCCCCCGGCGCCGCGGATGCAGGCGTGCATGAGGGCTGTTTTCCCAGACTTGTCTTGGATGTTGGGGTCAGCTCTGTTGTCCAGCAGGTACTTCACCATCTTGGCCTTGTTAATGCTCTGCTGGTCGACGTGCTTGGTGATGCAGGCCACCATCAGGGCGGTCTCCCCTTTCTCGTTGCTCTCGTTGATGTAAGCCCCCCCTTCCAGCAGCAGCCGGGTCAGTCGGAGCCGGCCGAGCCACACTGCCTTCAGGAGGGAGTTCCCCCCCACCTCCAGCTCCGTCACCTCATCCATGGCACCGGCCGCTGCTCACTGGTGGGCAAGGACAGCGTCGGCCAGCAGCTGTGGAAGGAACCGTGAAGCAGAGGTGAGGCTTGCTCCCCAGCCCTGGCTCCCACCTCTGCCCTGCCTTCCTGCGGGTGCCACGCTCTCGGCACCGCTCCGCGTCCCACTGCCCCTCTGACCACGTCCCCCCCCCGTGGCACTAGGGGCCCCCCAGAGGCCCCCCCCCGCGTGCCAGGCAGGGGAGCGGCCGCGGGAGGAAAGGCTTGCTCTCCTCAGGGATCTCCAGGGAGAAAGAGCCGAGCTTTGGGGGACGCCTCAGCCCTGCCTTCTCACAGCCGCGCCATGCGTTTACTTTGTGGCACTGCCCCCCTCAATCATCTCATCTTTAGGATGTACTGTATTTTTCTCTATCGGCCATGGAGCCTCTGGCCTTCCTCTGTTCTGGACAGAGGTCTTGGCTGCCAGGGCCCTGAGGGCACTGATTGCCCTTAATTGCCCTGACCAGCCTCACCTGAGACCCCCACCCACCCTCCGCCCCGGGGCTGGGGCCTCTATTTAAACGCTGGCCCAGACCCCCAGTCCTAGTTTGAGCTGCGGAGGTGCCTGAGGCTCCATCCACCCCTGCCAGACCAGACTTGTTCGCTGGACTTCCCTTGCTGAGCTGGGACCTGACTTGCACCTTGCCTTGGCCTGATGATCGCTGGTGATGGGACCTGTCCCCGACCTGTCCCTGCCCTGCTGATGAGGCCTTGGCCCCCGCCTGTGCGGTGGTCGCCCTCAGCTTACGGCACGCCTCCCCTCGCGAAGCAGCTCTGCTCGTGCTGCTCCCCGGCAATATGTCTCGGTTCATCTTGCCTTGCTCTTCTCCAGCTCTGCTTCCCCAGTAGCTGTGCTGACATTTGCCTGGATGCAGCTCGTTTCCCCAAGTGCCGGAGAAATCAGAACGGTCCTGATGCTGTGATGGTTTCCACCGTGTCTTCTAGATCTCTGGGGCTGTAACGCAGAGCCCACCGGAGACAGCGTGAGCATCTCCCGCGGCTTCTCGGGCTGGAGCCCTGCTCTTTGCCCCCTCACTGCCGAGGGAAACGTGAAGCAGCTGCGGTCAGGCTGGCTGTAACCCCGTGCTGCTTAATGGTGGCGTGAGCCACTTGTGCAGGAGAGGGCTGTAAGAGCAGCTTCCACTCACAGCAGCCTCTGCAGCAGGACTGGCTCAGGAGGATCGACAGGCATCGTCTCTGCTGGCAAGTGCTTCCCTGGCACGGGCTGGCTATGGGAAATTCAGCCAGGTAAGGCTCCTGCGCATCGCCCCACAGCCAGGATACGCAGCCCGAGTGCCCCGTGGCCCTGCTGCCTGTGTCCTTGGGGAACACCACCCGTCCCCTGCAGCTCTGAGACCTGCTGGGCTCCATGGACAACGCAGAGGTAGCAACTCAGAGCCGTGCTGGAGGGACCAGCAGACGCCCAGCACCATGGAAACATCACAGAGGCACAGAAGCAGAGGTGGCCAGGGGCCGTGCCACCTGCTTGCCCCCCGCTCCCAGTGCCCTTTGCCGCCTGCCCGGCTGTGAGCAGCGGTCTCCGCTCCCCAGGCCGTGCCCAGCACCCCCGCCTGCCGGGGGCCCGCCGGAGCCTGCCCGCTTCGCCCGGAGCTCTCGGCAGCCCGGGGCCCACGGGGCCCGCCCG